GTACAATCGGAGGATAATACTACTCACCAAAATGGGGAAAAAAATATCCAATAAACACACTAATACACAATAAGGATAACCCTACATCAACTTACATTCAGCATTTACCAAATTTAAACATAAACAAATAAATCTGAACACGTTCATATGAAATTGGCACTCACATGTCCGGAATGAACATCATTCCAAAGAAGACAACTTTACACAACACGATACATTCACAAATCTTCCGAATCAAGCAAGAAAGGGGGAACACCTCCGGCCTTGCAACAGGGCACATTCACACATAATGCCACAGACACACGGGGGGGGGGGGTCAATAAAGCACAGACAAAGGAAAAAGAATACACATTACAACGTAAGACACCGCCCAACAGAACACCAAGGAAGGGCATATGTCTAACGCACAGACTAAACATAACAGCAAGTGACAAGAACAAAACATACAGCCAGAATATTCACATCATACAATCAACGCAACAATGGATAATGTCGGAAATATCCGACACCCTAAATACCAACCCTTGACACAATAAGGTAAAATACGTTGTGTTTATACACTAATTTTACTAACCATACTAATAATCTAATAATTGAGAGTTTAGAAGTTGTTGAACATGCAAAGGGATGACTGGGTCAGCCGCCACATGTTCGCGGTGACTATTCTTTTGCTTAAAACTTAATAAAATCTCCGTCTGCAATCTACTGTCATTTGCGATTGCCATCTTAGATTGAGTTTAATCAATAACTAGATCGAATTCTTTGATTTCCTCTTTACAGTAGAATTTAAAACCGCTGTGAATGTTTCATGGAGGAAAAGGAACGATCATACTGGGAATTCTATCTTAATATAACACTTCCTAAATTACTTAATTCTTCGCAGGAAGCCATCAGAAACAGTATAAAACTGTTTATAATAATTGAGGATATTAAAATCACTCCTAAATTAGCATCTACCTCCGCTCATATGTAAAGTTTCACCGAAAAGAGGTGCCGTGACTATCAAGTGTGAGGGAGGAGGTTGGACGCCACTGGAGAGAGAGAGCACATGGCGCTGGTGATGGATGGATGTACCACTGTTCTCACGCCTTTGGCACCATATTTGTGCTTATTAGAGGAGGGTGTCTCTCAGTGGTGCAAGTTGAGCAGCTGAGACGTCTCTTGCAACGAGTTATCACGCATCGGACTGCCGCACTCTCCAAACGTGAGAGAACGTCTCCCGGATGAATACTTTGTTTCTTTTATTACGAGCTCAGTAAGATTAGAACTTCAACTGGGTTACGAGGCATACCATACAAACAAACCCAGTAAGCTTCTTTCAATTCCATGGGTATTACCTCGAATGTAATTACAATGTGAATATAGTGTGACGATAATCTCCTTCAAGAGATTGAGCCTGCTCTTCCCTCCAAAATACGTCGATATATAAATCTATATAAAACTAGTATGGAAGAAATATCCAACAACGACAACAACACCAAGTTTTGCCAGAAGCGCAAAACGTATGCAGCCAGGAACACCTGCTCCACCTCGAACCACCAAACTACCTGTCTTGTCGCCTGCTCATCGCTGATTGGCTGCGGGTCCAGTTGCAACTGCACTCCACCCACCACACTACTTGATGTCTGGGGCCACCACGACCTCAGTCCTCAGAATATCCAGTGCTTTCATCAGGTTAACACGTCTCGTTGGTAGACTAAGCTGTGGCTTACGTGTACTAAGAGAGGTGATAGCTTAAAGCCAATATTCCTGCACCTCTTATTTGATTGTATATTGCTCACTTGTTATTACTCACTTGTCTTAACGTAACTTTTCATTTTGTCATTTGATTATTCTTACTATTTTGATTGATTGATTTTATTATACGAATTTGTATGTCCATTTTATTCATGTTTTGCTTTTCTAATGTAATTAAAATTTCATTGTTAAATTTACTTGTGTTTTGTGTGTCTTCTCATTACCTTACCACAGACGAAGTTCCAGATTTTCTATTTTTTGTTTCTATATGTGACGAGGCCATACCCCTAGCTTTTGAACAGCCGAACACCAACGTGTTACCGTCACAATAGTAATCTGTAACAACTAGTAGTAGATCTTGGTAGACCTTGGCAGATCTACTGTGACAAAGGGTACCACACCTGTTCCAACACGCTGGAGTACTGGGCGCAGTGACCACGAGGTCCACATTGCATGCTTGATCCATTGTTGTCTACTTCCGTGTCCAAACTAGCCTAGGAGGAATTCTTCTTACCAGCTAAAATTAAAGTTCTCACAATCAACCTATAGTAGTGCAGCCTACTATAGGTTGTAGCCAATTCATTTAAATAATTTTATTTCAAATTCCAAGTTGTTTTAGCATTATTAAACCAGCCCTCAAATTTTTGTGTATATAGGGAAATCTCTAGCAAGAATTAAAACTAAAACATACAGTCCACTTTTCTACAGTTCACTTAATCATAGTAAATCTAAATTGAAAAATACAACTGCTGGAAAATTCGCTACAGACAAGAAGCACATACATACACCAACTAAGTCGCTGTCATAACCCGCGTAACCAACATCACAGAACAATGACAGAAGCCGGTGAACCCTACATCAAGTGAGCAGAAGCGACATAAGCTGCCGTGAACCACCGATCGAGGAACCTCTGAACGCCCGCTGCAACCACCACCACATCGTGTAGCACAGCCTACCCTTCAGGAACCCCAGACGCTGAGCCACGTCGTACCCATCCAACCCACAACAAAAATGTAAGTGTTACTAATTATAAAATTCCCACTTGAAAACGACAAGAAGAAAATCTGCAGAAAATCCACCCACAAATCAGGACCACAGAGGGTAGCAATTTTACCCTGCAGCCAGTCCACCAAACAAAAAACCTACCAACAAAAGTAAAACACATGGAGTTGTTTAGGGGTGAGAAACGGCCCCGTCAGAGTGCCCATCACCGTCCCCCAATCAAACAACAGGCACATCCCCTCCACCTGTGAGCCACACGACCCAAAAGCCCCCGATACATCTCCCGACAATCAAAAACAAAACCCAGCATACCTACAAAGCGACCAAAGAATGAGAACTGCACAAGAGTAAACCGGCGGCATAATGAAAGCCACGTCCCGACGACACGGAACCCCTCATAAGATAACTCACCCAAATAGAACAGAAATACAGCACCAAGGAGTTAGGATTTACCATTCCTCCAACGCGAGCCCCCTACGAAAGGACACCCAAAAAATAGCTAACGAATTCACATTCACATTCGCCAGACCTATCCCACCTTCCTCCTAACCCAGACACAAGGAAGATCGGCGAACCGGATGGTAACGGCCACACCACACATACTGGAAAAACCACTTTCTCCAATTCCAGCACGCGGGCCCTGGTCAATGGGAAACAATGAGTCAAGTACCATAATTGCAAGGTTCTTAGGTAGAACCTTACAATTCACAATAACCGCCTGCTGAAAAAGCGTCAAAACCCTTCTTTGACAGCATTCCTAACACTTCCGCCACTGAGCGAGAAACCACCACCCAGTATACAGTAATCTTTATACAGTAAAGATTCCTCATACGAACAAAAGCAAGTGATACCCAGCATGCGAACAGCCGCACTAGGGAAAACCAAGACTCCTGAGAAGCCCAACTCCCAAACCCCATAATACAAAATTTCCTATGATTGACAGACAGCCCAAAACAAAACAAAAGGCCAACTCAAAACTGTGTACCACGTCCTGCACACCAGCAACCGAACCCACTGTAGCTACAAAAAAAAAAGTCGTGCCATCAGTATACCCACACATTCACAGGTCAATCCTGTTGGGCAACCTCGGGGAAACGATAGAACCACTAGCCCACACAGCCGGAACAATGGTTCGTGAATAATAAAATACTGAAGCATTGACAGGGGGCATCCCTGCCGAACCGAACGCCCAAATGGCAAACGAAGTACTAAACAACCCATTCACACACAGCCGACTACAACACCTCCTATACAACATTTGTACCCGGGCCAAAAACCGGGAGACAACCCCAACCCTCTCCAGAACCCGTAACTCAAAGTCAATGGTCACACGGTCGAAGAGCTTCGACCAGTCCAGATTGATCAAAACTGCCGGGAACTCAGACCCCGACATATAAACAATCAGATCCCGTACCAGGTTGTTGCTATGGACCAACGACCTTCCAAGCACCATGGATGTGGCTTTCATACCTGTTTTTTCCTGAAGGGTCCCTAGGGATGTGAGGGTCTACAGAATGGGGGACCTATGCCCCCTTGTCGTCCGGCAGGACTCAATTGGCCTAGAGTTTTCCGGGAATGCTTCCTACTAGGCAGTGGAAGTAGTGTTACTCGACATGTTGTATGTTCCTGTGGAAGCTGTGTGTGGTGTGCAGCTACTTGCTGGGAGGTAAGGTGTCAGGATGGCCAAGCGGTCCAAGGTGCTGCGTTCAGGTCACAATCCGGTCTTCCGGGTGTGGGTTCGAATCCCACTCCTGACAACTTAATTTTCGATCAACCAGGCTCTGATTCGTATGTCAGGCTGCGAGCAGCCACATCCAACAGCCTGGTTGACCAGTCCAGCAACCAGGAGGCCTGGTCGACGACCAGGCCACAGGGACACTAATCCCTGGAAGCACCTCAAGGTAAGGAGGCGGGCGATTGTCAAGTTCGCCTCCTCAGCGATTTACTGTGATCTCGTTGCGCGCAATGATGAGCATTCTTTCACTCTGGTGATGGAGGGTCAGTGACTTTCTAAGATTGCTGTGGTACAACAACTTATGTGGCGGTGCATGGTTCGCCCTTCGAGTTTCCTGAGGACCTTCTACGTCGGTATTTTGCTTAATTTGGGCGGGTCCTTCATGTGAGGATGAACGCTGTCCCCACTGGGAGGTGGAAGGGTGGGGGGGTCCCGTATGGGACACGCACTCTCGCTATGCACCTCAGGGATCCTATACCATCCTCCATCATGCTGTTGCAGTTCACTATTCGTGTGTTTCACGCAGGCCAGCCCAGGACATGTTTCAGGTGCGGCCTACCAGGCCACCAGGCTGCAGGGTGTGAAGAGTGCCGGGTCACCCCTGTTTACCTCTTCCGGGAGGAGGATTTTCCCCCGTTGTCAGCCCCGGACCTGTCTCCAAGTACTGGGATGTGTGTTGCTTCCCTGCCGGCTGAGGCTCCAGTGTTGGATCCTACGGCTCGCCTGGGTGTGGATGTGAGTGGTAGTGTGGATGTTGACATGGGGGCTGGGGGCGGCCCCACCCCCGCCGCTGGTTTCCCCGCCTGAGCTGTCCCTGACGCCCCAGCCCGCCACATCTCGACCACCCGTGCCTGTTCCGTCCCTTGATACGGTATCTCCTGTCACTCTGGATGTCCACGAGGGGGCTGTCTCCTGTGGTGTGTGGTCTAGTGTCCCCAGTTGTTGAAGCTGCGGTTCTCAGGGGCCGTGTTTTGAAGGCGCGCCTGGCGGAGAGTTCTGTTATGATGCTGGATGATGGGGGTGATAGCTCGGACGACCGGCAGCCTGTCTCCAAGCACTTGAGGCGGGTTCTGAGTGTGTCTCCCCTTCGTGGTGTGCCTTGGGTGGGGGCGGGAGAGTATAGTGCTCCGGCGTCTCCTGTTATGGTTGGCGGTGCTGTGGGGGGGCTCTGTGCTACCTTCTGTGTCGTCCCCTGCACCTCCTGCTGTTGGCTTCCTAAAGTGGGAGGTTGCCCCTGATGATTGGGACCTTTTAGTGGTGCTGAGTAAGGATGTGCGTTAGGGGGTCTCTGCTCCTGTGCCTGGTTGGGGGCCCAGGTGCGTCTGCGTCCTCTGCAGGTCCCCCCAGTGCGAAGCGCTGTGAGAAGCCCAGTGAGAAGCCTCGTGTGAAAACCAGTGCGATACCCAGTGCAGATCCCAGTGCAAAATCCCCTTGTGCCCTTCTTGTGGTCACGGCCATGTTCCAGCAACTGCGACTCACGGACATGGTCCGTGAGTCGCAGTTGTTGGAACTCCTTTGAGATGACCGGGTGCGTCCGATCCCGTGGTGCTCTTCTAATATTTGGGTGCCACGGGTAAAGGGGTTTATTTATGGGGTGCCAGATTTGATGCCTCGGCCTTGTGCGTTTCCTGGTCGACAGGTGCCCAATGACGTCATGCTGATTTGGGAGGCTTACTGCTTGTTCTCTCCGGAGGAGCAGTTCCCGGATAAATATGCATAGTACTTGTGCTTGACTTGTGTACGCTCCGTATTTTTTAATTTGTTGCCTTGTCTGCTAAATGTTCGTTTTATATCCATGGTTTTGGCTCTACTCATTTGGGCATTGTGTTTTGTTTGTACGGTACTGTTTGGTTTCCTATGCATGTTTTATGTTATGATTCCTGTGTTGTTTCTAGTGCTGTTGGAAGTGTGTGTGTGCTTTCTGGTGTCTGTGTTTGTGTGTGTGTTTTGTGTTTCTTTACTGGTTCCTGCATGTTCCGGTGTTTTTTTTCATGTGTATTTGGGGTGTGATTGAAGCATTGTTTCCCGGTTCTTGTGTGTTCCGGTGTTTGTTCTTGTTTGTATGTGTGGGTGTCATTTCATTTTGTTCTTCCCGGTTCTTGTGTGTTCTGGTCATGTATTACTGTCTGTACTGGCTTTTTGCTCTTTACATGTGGCCCTTCTGGCTGGATTTATCCCTCATGCTGTATAGTGTTCTTTTACCGTGTTTCTTTGCCGCGGGCTAGTTCCGTGTATATATGTAATTTGTGTATATCTTTGTATTTCCTGTGTTATTTCAGTGTTTCCAATTTTGTGCTTGTTTGTATTTCAGTTTTGTGTTTCCTTTCTCTGTTGTCCTCATGTTCTTGCCTTTATGGTTTCCACGGTTCTTGAGGTTATCTTGAGTTATCACGGATCACTGCTTGTACTGTTTTTGTCAGTGTTTTTATTGTATTTATTGTGCTTTCTCAACAAAAAGAAAGAAAAAAAACCTCCCCAGCACCCCACAAAACTGTTCTGAGAAATTACGGAACTCACCAACGACTGGAGCCGATTTGCCAACAACTGAGGTAATCTTGTAATCCTGTTTGAGGAAAGTAATTGGACGCCAATTGGCAAAGAATCTCAAGTCGCCAGGCTTAGAAAAGAGCCTAACAATAACAAGAGACTAACTCAGCCAACCGCATGTGTTAGAAACAAAACTGAACCACAACCAGCAAATCAGACCCAATAATATCCCAACAGGATACATAAAACTCCGGCGGCAGCCCATCATACCCCGGCACTTTATTGGTCCTCAAGGACCGAATGTCACGACCCTTGAGACTAAATAATGTTCTTCTCCCCACAGTGTAAAGAACAAATAAAAATCTGCCATGCCAATAGGTGTCTAGGGGTATAATTAATCACTGTAAGAAACGGGAGAACAATATATTTTGCTAAGGGTGACAACTTAACAACAATTAAATAAATAGTAGCCAGAAGTATTTATCAGCATGTGATACTATAGAATGCAAGTAATTAGTTGAGACCTGAGCACTATCACCAGAATATGGAGTAAGCCATAAATACACTAAAATCGTCTATCCAGATAAATTAATATTTATATGGGCTTAAAATAACAAAAACCAAGAACTTAGCTTAAACACAACTTCACTCGACCGCAGCTGCCACTCTACTGCCCAGGACGTGGTCCGCAGGCCCAACGTCGACTAACCGTCTACCCAAACACCAATTAACGTTCGCATGAACATTGTGAACATTCTATTTACAAAGGTCAGCCCTAAACTCCAACATTATTAACTAAGAGTTGTAATTACCGGTCTCACATTCCTTGAAATATTACGGCTACCAAATATGGGAATAAATAAATATAAAACTATAGGCAATTGATTTGCCAACAATCGCCCTGGCCATTCCCAAATATTGTCAACCGCCCACACGGCTAATTTCACGTGACATCCACCACCAAAACAAACCTTACACACACTACCCAGCTATCTATGTTATATATATATAATGTATATATATCTATATACACAAAAATTATACAACTGACAGCAATATTTACGTAGAGAAAACAATAACATAATACGAGGTTCGGGAGAATTGGCAGAATCGTAATAAGATTCGTGACACCGAACCACATACCAAACCTCTGTACGACCAGCCTCACCCTCCAGAACCGGACAGTCCAACGACGAAAACCCAGGAGAGCAAAACCCAAGAAAAAATCCTCCAATTACCCTCCACCCTCCTATAAAGATCTTCAAGCTCCCGCCGAACATAATAAAACACAGCATCCGTATTCGAAAAAGCTTGAACTATCAGGCATGTGGAGAGAAGTCAACAACACAGACTCACGATCATCCCTCTCCTTCTGAAGCAAGAACTGCGAAAGACGTTCCCCAAACAACCACTTCCCAAACCCAGCCCGAACCTGCACCCCCACAGCCATCTCCTCCCTCCAACCCGTCCTCGACTCAAGTCCATTACATCCAGCGGTCGATCCCACAGATGCATTCATAAAAAATTTATCATGTTGTTCATTCAAAACAGGACTTTTCTCAAATATAAATTAATATTATAATATATTGGCATATTGGGCATATATAGGCATAGGTTTGGTTAGGTGTTTAGGTTCTGTTGGCGATTATTTGTATTTGTAGTACGTGGGTGAAGCATTTATAGCATTGTGATTCGAACAAAATTCGTCAGTGAAGCACTTGTTCCGGATATGTTCGAACGTCAGCAGTTGTGAGTCGTGTGTAAATCGCTTTTCATTCATAAACAGGGGGTTTGGCAAGTGCATGGAATCACTTTTGGATCTTTGTTTGGAGGACGGGCTGGTTTACATTTGACCATCAAAGCCCACCGAACCCGAACCAGTTCACGAACGTCGGAATACTGAAGCAAACTAGAACTGAGTTTCCACCAACCCCTCAAACCCACATCTGGCTCCGAACACCAACCTCCTCAACTATCATACAGTGGTCAGAGAAAGCAACCGGAACCGTAATAAAGGAGTGCACAGCCCCTTCCAACTTATGAACAATAAACTTATCTATCCGAGAACTTGAAACACGAGAGACAAAAGTAAACTCCAAAGCACCTTCATGAACCACAGCCACATCCCGAAACCCACAACACCGCAGAGTTTCAACCAAAGTAGGGGACACATTCACAGGTAGAAGACTACTGCAGTCCTGTGCCGATGTAAGACAGTTTAAATCCCCCCCCCCAAACCATAGGCCTAGTATCATGTCTCAGAAAATGCAATACCTCAGTAGGAAAGAAAGCCTCCCTATCCTGCCGCCGAGCAGAACCAGAAGCATAAACATTCAACAAAGGATCACTGACCCCCAGATATGATATCCGCACAAACAGAATCCGGCCATCAGCATCCATCTCCGTATGCATCCCAGAAATCAGTGCTCGTGTTATAATAAGAACTAACGTAAACCCCTTTACTTCAACCTGGAAAGGTTCAACAAGGTTCTAAAGATCAGCGAACCCTGGCAGCATGTACACATCTCGGACATTATTCTCCTGGATGAAAGCCACGTCGACCTTGGGGGGACGAAGCATCGAGTCGAGACCCACCTGAGTCGCCAGAGAACGAAGCCTATTAACATTAAGGGAGGCACAAGTTAGATGGCGAGCCGTCGGGAAAGGGAGATTAAGCACAGAAGATCTAACCATCAGACACTGGTTGCCGGACAGAACCGCAACCACACACGGGGAATCACCAACAGAACCCTGGACATAAGTTGTTCACTCTCAGAACGGAAATTCCGCCTCCCCTAGTACACCACTGTGTACTGGTGCACTGTGTTTCCCACTGTGTACTGGTGTACTGTGATGCCCACCGTTCACTGGTGCACTGTGTGGGAACCGACTTGTGAGATTTATATTTATTTAATTTATATGAATTTATATAGAATTTATATTTACGTTAATACATATATTTCGATAGCAATTTGTATGATGTTAAGTGGTCTGTATTTCTGCAATAATCTCACAAATCGATCCTCTACACATTAGGGGGGGGGGGTTTATATTGAATTTATATATATGCAGCCAATCAAACTACAGTATTAACTACATATATTAATATACATTGAAGAGGTTCCTTATCTTATTATACAGCAGGCTTAATCCACCAGATATAACTAGGATGTAGACACCAAATTATCCTCGTGTGAGGCAGCTTCCGTCATCCAGTAACTGATACACAAAGTTTGCTTCCTCTTCTTGGCCTGTCAAAGGCACTAGCTATAAAGCCAGAATCCTAATATATGACAGCTATATCAGAGAAAACACTGTAT